TTTTGAGCAAAGTTGATTTTTGCAAATTCATGAAAATTTCCCAACTTCTCCAATACACAACTTGCTCAATTTTGATCATATGACCATGTTCTTGGACATTTTGGAAAGCCCTTGAAGTTCTCTAACCAATGCTTTTGGTCCCATGTCCTTTGGATTTACCAATCTCAAGTTATGGCTTTTGACTCAAAGTGTACTTTTGTTGACTTTTGAAATTGACCTATAATGTAAAAATTTGTAACTTCTTGTGAGAGAATTTCTTGATCTTGGAGTGTGAAGATGGATTGTAGGAAATTGCATCCTCTTCAAAATGAGCTTTGGATGGAATTTTTCTGATAAACCATGAAAAAGTTATGCCCTGGTCAAAGTACAGTTGACTTTTCTATTGTCCAAAAATAGTAACTTTTGCACCTTGATGATTTTGAGCTATTCTTTGTGGAATCATGATCAAAACTTGATCAAATGATGATTGTGAACTCAAAATAAGATTTTGACCAAGAATTCTGTCTTTTGACTGCAAAATGACCATTTTGTCCTTGCAATTGACTGTAGATCAAATGGGGCTTTTTGGCTGTGCAAATTGGCACTGTGAGTCTTGAAACTTGGCATGTAGGTGCTTGAGAATGTATATAGGCCTATGAGACTTGATTGAACCATTGAGAACCCCCAATTCCTTGAAAGAACCAAAACCCTAATTTTAGCTGTCTACTGCTTAGGAGATGGCTTGACTGTCCAACCCTTGAGCAATCTTGAGCAATTTGAAGATCATTCTTGATAAATCTTGAGGAATATGGGAGGGAAATTTTTGGGGTACAATAGTTGCCCCTGTTCAATCTTCTTAAACCTAAGGATGTAGATTGGCTTGTGCGCCTTTAGTGATCCGAAGGTGGAAGATGATTGAACATTAAAGTGCCCAGAAATTTGCACTCGCATGGTGTAGTACCAGCAATGTGATATTGGGAATGGGCTTACAGCTGCCATTTGGAGATTGTTGGTAGAAGGATGGGCTTATAGATGCCATCTGGAGATTGTTTGTTGAATTGTAACTTTGTAAGTTGAAAGAAGGAACCTGTGTAGGGTTGCCTGATGATGAGTCTGTGTAAAACTGCATCTGAAAGAGAAGGAACTGGTGCAGGGTTGCCTGATGATGAGTCCGTGTAAAACTTCATATTAAAGAGAAGGAACTGGTGTAGGGTTGCCTGATGATGAGTCCGTGTAAAACTTCATCTGAAAGAGAGAAGGAACCGGTGTAGGGTTGCTTCATGATGGTCAAGTAGATAATTGTCCTGTCTGGTTTCAGGTGTTAACCTACAATCAGTCGTCCGCAGATGTTTTCCTGGCTTGTTACAAGTGTTAATCTGGAATTAGCTGTCCACATATGCTTTTCCTGGCTTGTTACAGGTGTTCATCTGGAACTTGAAAAGGTTGGCCGACGAGATAGTTGTCCTGGCTGGTTTCAGGTATTAATCTCTGACTTGAGAAAGAAAGATGGTTTTCCTGGCTTGTTACAGGTATTGATCTTCAATCTCTTCATGTAGATAGCTTTCCTGGCTTGTTTCAGGTATTAACCTACAATCAGTCGTCCATAGATGTTTTCCTGGCTTGTTACAGGTATTGATCTGGAACTTGAAAAGGTTGGTCAATGAGATAGTTGTCCTGGCTGGTTTCAGGTATTAATCTCTGACCTGAGAACTGAAGATCTTCCTGGCTTGTTACAGGTGTTAATCCTCAATCTCTTTGTGTAGATGGTTTTCCTGGCTTGTTACAGGTATTAACCTACAATCAGTCGTCCGCAGATGTTTTCCTGGCTTGTTATAGGTGTTAATCTAGAATTTAAAAAGGTTGATGGTAGCCATCTTTTGATTGACCTTCTCCTGAAAAGGAAAAACGTTAGTTGTATGCAATGTCATGATGTATGAAATGCATGATGTCATGATGTTCTCAAAATAAATGAGATTTATGTCGTATGATGCGTATGCATGTCATGATGTATGAAGATGTAATGTTTTTAGCTGGGGAAAATAAATCCCGGAGCTGCTGGAGAATAGTGTTGAGTTCTTCGTTTCCGCTGGGGATGATGAACTAAGATGGTTGTGCGAATAAACCTGTAGGAGAAGATGACTCCGCTGGGGAATAAACCTGGTGAATAGATTACTCTGCGGGGAATTACTCTGTGGGGAAGAGGTGCTGTGCTGAGATTTTAACGATAACTCCGATGGGGATTCCGTTGATAAGCTCTGTTGGGGAATCTGATGATGAACTCCGCTGGGGATAGAAAGAATTTCGCTGGGGATGATCTTTCCGTTGCAAGTTGCTGAGGATAACCCAGTTAGACTCTTGTGGGGATAACCTCTGAATTTGGCTGAGAAGATGCATTTGTATTCTGCAGGAGACAAGCTTCCAGGATCTACTGGGTAAGATGATTCAACTCTGGAGGGGAAGCTTTTTAGGCTGCGTTGGGAGATGGCTCCACTAGGGGTATCTTGTATTCTGTCGGGGAACATTCTTATATTCTGTCGAGGAATATTAAGACTGCCGGGGATGCTCTTTACGCTGATTGGGGAATATCTTTATACTCCGCTGGGGAATATTAAGACCTTCTGGGAATACCGAGCCTTTTTAGGGCTGATGATAGTGTTGTACCCCAATTTTTGACCTAAGATCCCATTTTTATTTTTGCATTTTTTAAAGATAAGTCAAGGTCACGAAATACGGTCGGTTTTAACGTCTCACCTTCGAGCTTTGACTATGCGAAAATTGTCAAATATTTTGAACATTCTTAGCCTATGTATCACTAACTTCTAATCAAGCACGAAGTGTGTTTTTTTTTTATTTCATTTGCAGGAAACAGATCTGAATCAAGAGCATCAGGCGTCATGCCTCGATTAGGGTTCAGAATCTCTCAAGCCAGAAGTACAGTTGATCGTTGATTCTTGGAGACTGATTCATCAAGGGAATCGTGTGTTTATTTCCACGCCTTGTTCGACAGGTGGTCTCAAGCTTCTCCAAAAATTCCCCAAAGCACAATCAAGATTTCATCATCACTGGTTCTCATATGCATCAATGCGTCCGGGAATGCAAGGAATGATCAAGCTTGCAAGTCGATTCAAAGCACTTAGACCAAAAAGCCAACTTTTTCAAGATCAAGTTCAAAGGATCATAATTTCCTCAATTTCCAATATTTTGAGACAGTTCTTTTTGCATGTTGTCATATTATGCTTTGAAGGCTATGGAATTTATTGAAACGTTATAGGTCATTCTCATAACCTAGAATATTCTTAACCTCCAAGCCACAATTCATGCCATAATTGTTCTCTAAAGATATTGAATTTTATGATGAGTTTGTTCATGACCCATGATGATGAGTTTGAGGATTCTTTAAATTGTTTGGCGCTTGTTTCAAGTCACTTGCATTTGAGCATAAGTGATTGTCAAATTATGATGAATTTTTTTACCAAGGCTCTTAAGATACTATTTGTTCACTCAAGTACTAATGACAAGTTTGCAAATATTCTTCAAGAGAAGTTCACAAAAGTTCATCAATTCTACAAGGACTATTTCCAAGGAAGAGTTCTTATTCAATTCAAGAATTTGATACAAACTTTAAAGAAAATTTCAAGATCATTGATTCAAGGATATTTGTCATGTTTAGTTCAAAAGTGGAGAATGCATCATGTTAATTTTTAGGCATATTTCAAGTTTGCAATTTCAAAAAATTTCAAGACAAATCCATTCCAAACTCAAATGAAATATTTAAATTTACATCCAAATTCAAGACTTGTTACAAATTTCATATCCCATAACAAATACTATAGCCACAAAATCACATAAAAAAACATTGCAAATCCTAAAGCCTATTTTAAACTATCCTTCATCAATATTCAAAATACCAAGTCTAAACCTATGCTATTATTTTCAAGCCCGTTTTCCTTGCTTCATGATGCATCAAAATTGCTCCATAACTTGTACCAATGTTGTCCGTAAATCAGCTGCTACAAACACTTCAAAACAGTCCAAAAATCTGCTACAAAATCAGCCCCTGTTGCTGTCCACCCTGCTACTGTCTTGCTGCCCAGACAAACTGCATAAGCATGCCAAAAACCCAGCATCACATCAGTCTAAAAACAGTCCCAAAACTGTGTAAGATCTGTCCCAAAACCAACCTATGTTGCAGCAGTCAAACTAGTTCTGCTATGCTGTCCCAATCTTGCACAAGTAAGGAAAGCTTTAGCCTACAAAAAAAAATAAAAATAAAACAGTTATAACAAAACCAACTTTCACAACCATTTTCCCGCCAAAATTCATTTTGTTCCAGCTATAAAAGTAGTTCTAAGGAGGGGAGAAACACACAAAAAAAGAGAACACAAAAAAATTAGGAAAATTGTAACATGAGTTATGTCCAGTTGAAGATGACTCAGCTGCTGTGTTGAAAGATGAATGTCATGATAAGGAGGCATCAAAGAAGGAGCTTACTGATAATGTTGCTTCTTTACAATCGCCTAAGCCCATTACTTACTCTTCTCGAAAGAGATCTGCTTGCGACTTATGTCCACAGGGATTCATAACAGATAGACATATGCCAGTACGAAGGAATAGAAGAAGCTCATCGCGGGTCCAAAACATTATGTTTCCCTGTAGTGACGGTGGAAAAAATTCTGGCAGCCAATTAACCAATGCAACCTGGATTTCCTTGATGCTGATGAGAACAAGATACAAATGCAGAAGATGCAAATTCGGATTAAGAAGTAAAGTCAGAGAAAGACCAAGAACAAAGTCAAAGACAATTCAATATACCAGGTTTAGGATTTCATTTTCTTTATTTAGATGTTATATTTGCTTCAGCTTCACTATAATCCATCACTTTTTGAAATAGGGGGGGAAGGGTTATTAAGGGTTTCAATTGTTTGCTGCTGTAAAGACGTGTTACTGTTGGTTTTGAAAAAAAACAGATATAAGAAAAGTGAAAAATATGTTTCTTACCTCCAAAAACTTCGCTATAATATATGCATCTCCCATGCCCAGTTCCCCCAACCTTTTGTTTACAAAACCGTTCCAACCACACTTCTGCTCCATTAACCCCTCTTTCATTCTCTACCGCTCACAACTATAACCTCCCTCTCAACGTCCCCTTCGCCCCTTTCTCTCGCTCTGACAAGGTAGGCCGAATCGCCGATGGGACTCGCAACTTCAACAACCAGACCCGATCCAAAACCCCCACCGATTCTGCCTTCGATTTCACCCTCGACGATTCCGTCCCAGGCAACACCGATGACGACGCCGCATTCCGCTTAGTCGTTGGTAAACCCCATCGCCATCCCTTTCAAACCCAAACCCACATCCATCTTCCACTCGATTCTCTTTCAAACCCCTCAGATTCAAAGGACTCAGCATCAAATCCAACAAGAGATTCGTTTGCGAGGCTGTGAAATCTTCAATGGCGGGTGAAGTTGAGGTATTCGAAAAAGAGACACTAGCTGTTTCTCTGGCTAAATACGTCGCTGATCTATCCAATAAGTTTACTCAACAAAGAGGGGCTTTCACTGTTTGCTTGTCTGGTGGTTCTTTGATCAATTATCTTCAGAAATTGTTGGAGGCTCCGTATGTTGATTCTATTGAATGGGGTAAATGGCATGTGTTTTGGGTGGATGAGAGATTTGTACCTAAGGATCATGAAGATAGTAACTATAAGCTTGCTTTTGATGGCTTTCTCTCCAAGGTGCCCATTCCATCCGACAATGTTTATGCAATCAATGATGCCCTTTTGGCTGAAGGAGCAACTGATGATTACGAGACATGTGTCAAACACTTGGTCAATAGCAATGTGATAACATCATCATCATGCAGCGTCGATTTCCTCTTTTCCTTTTAGGTCTTTTTGTTTTTCCAACCCAATGTGAGTGTTACAAGGCAACGGGTCTGGGCCTGACCCGGTTCGGCCCGGTTACAATTTTGTAGGTTTATTTTAGTTTTTTTATTTATTTATGTTCATTACTCATATCTTGGGCCTTATCCCAATTTTTAAGCCCATCCGATTTTCATCTCATAACCCCCCAAGTTTCTGTTACACACCTCCTTTTATTATTAATATGGTTTAGATTTTTATTAGTAATTTTGTAAGGAATTTAGTTTAGATCTAATTTAGTAGTTTTAAAATTATTTTTTTATAACCTTAGAATTTTAATTTGGTTCAGGTCTAATGTAGTACTTTTAAAATTATTTTTATATTCTTAGAATTAGCAATCAATTTAGAATTATTTTAGTGAGTAATCTTAATTTTTTAGTTTAAATAACTTCTTTAGATAATTAGTTGCATTCTCTTTTATTTGTATTTAAATATCTCTGTCATTTTAATTTCTCGATGCCTTTAGGTCATTAATCTGTTTCGTTATATTTTCTTGTGAATTCTGATTACTTATATTTTGATGTCTATTTTATTTTGCTCGCTCGATTTAATCCAAGGGAAATAATTAATTTGTTGACTTCATGTCATCGAGTATCTAATACGATTATGTGAAATCACTTCATACTTTTTTAGTTTTATTAATCTTAAGACGAATCTCCTACAAATCAATTTTTAAACTCATACCCCTTTTTAAGTCAAAACTTCGACATTAGGTCGCTGTCTCTTCAAAATCTCTCTGACACCGATTTTTAGCCAAACGAACCATTTTAATCAAACAAACAATTTTAACCAAAAACAGATATTTCAAAAGGTTCCTGCGGAGTACCGCAGATGCATTGGGTGCTAATACCTTCCCATTGTATAACCAACCCCCGAACTCTCGATCTCTTTCAAAAAACGCATTGTATTTTTATTACTTTTAAGTATTATTTTACATTGCATAGTTTAGGGTTTTATTTCGCTCTTTTTCCCTTTTCCCTTGGAAATAATAAAGCGCGGTGGCGACTCTTGCTTTTGGAAAATAGGCGTTTTTGTACAAGAGGCTGACGTCCTAGTAAGAGAACGCCGCCGAGCAAATAGAATTTATACAATTTGTAAAAAGAAAACAAAACAGCTATGTGAATAATCCCACTGGGTTCTAACTCTGCTATCGCCTTTATATCTTCAAGCATCTCATAACTTTGCTGCTTAGTTGGAGATAAATCTGATTGACCGGTGTCGTCCGAGCTTGATAGTCGATACTGAAGTCCGGATGCGAGGTGATCCATTGAGACATAGTATTACGCTTTAATCCCTAACTTTTTCCTGGACCGCCCTTTCGGGTTTTCAGTCCACCGGGATACCCATTTTTGCCCAAGCCGCCTTTTCAGGTTTTCGACTTGCCGGGTGTACAGATTTTTTTTATTTTCATCCCTTATTTTTGCCCGAACCCTTTTGGTTCACCGGGAAGCCCTTATTTTTTCCTAGGCCAGTCAGCCTAACGAGTCTTTGATTATTCGTAGTATCTTTTTACTATGTCTGCATTGACGGGGTGAGGAAGGTCGTCACCATCCATGGTGGTTAGAATCATCAATCCTTCTGAGAAGATGTTCTTAACCACAAATGGCCCTTCGTACGTAGGGGTCCATTTGCCCCTGGGATCACCTTGAGGTAGGATGATGCGCTTGATTACCAGGTCCCCGACTTGATACTCTTGTCGTCTGACTTTCTTGTTAAATGCCTTGATCATCCGTTTTTGGTACGTCTGACCATGACAAATAGCAGTGAGTCTCTTTTCGTCGATTAGGTTTAGTTGATCAAGCCGGGTCTGGATCCAGTCGTCTTCACTTAAACCCACATCCTTCATGATCCGGAGAGAGGGTATCTGAACTTCAATGGGCAGGACTGCCTCCATGCCGTATACCAAGGAATAAGGTGTTGCCCCTGTTGACGTCCGTGCTGAGGTACGGTACCCGTGAAGAGCAAATGGTAACATCTCGTGCCAGTCCTTGTAGGTCACTGTCATCTTCTGCACAATCTTCTTAATGTTCTTATTAGCTGCTTCTACAGCCCCATTCATCTTCGGTCGGTAGGGAGAAGAGTTGTGGTGCTGTATCTTGAATTGCTCGCAGAGCTCAGTGATTATCTTGTTGTTAAGATTGGTACCATTATCCGTAATGATCCTCTCTGGTACACCGTATCGACATATCAAGTTGTGCCGAATGAACTGTGCCACGACGTTCTTGGTTACGGTGGCAAAGGAAGCTGCTTCAACCCACTTTGTAAAGTAATCAATTGCTACTAGGATGAAACGATGCCCGTTGGATGCCGTAGGTCTGATCTCGCCGATCATATCAATGCCCCACATTGCAAAAGGCCAAGGTGCTGTCAAGACGTTCAAAGGAACTGGAGGAATGTGCACCTTATCAGCATAGACCTGGCACTTGTGACATGTCCAAGAATGTTGATAACAGTCGGCTTCCATTGTTGACCAGTAATATCCTTCCCGAAGGATTTTCTTTGCCATGGTATGTCCACTGGAGTGAGTTCCGAAGGTACCTTCATGCAGCTCTGCCATGATCCTTTCTGCTTCAATCTTATCCACACAACGCAGTAAGGTTGAATCATGGCTACGTTTGTAAAGAATGCCATTGCTGATGAAGAACTTTGCCGCGAATCTTCTCAGAAACTTCTTGTCATTAACGGATGCACCTTCGGGGTATTCTTGAGCTTCAAGGTATCACTTTACTTCATGATACCAAGGCTTTTCTGTTACCTCTTCGGTCTCAAGATCATAGCAATGTGCAGGTTCATCCAATTTCCAAATAATGATCCGGGGAGCCTCGTTGTCCCACTTGACTTTGAACATAGAAGACATCGTAGCTAGCGCGTCCGCCAACTGGTTCTCCTCTCTTGGGAAATGTTCAAAGGTTATCTCCTCGAAATGGGGAAGCAACGTCAACACATACTCCTTGTAAGGAATAAGATTTGGATGTTTCGTATCCCACTCGCCTTTGATCTGACTGATCACGAGAGCGGAATCTCCGAAGACACTCAGAAACTTGATCCTTAGGTCAATTGCAGCTCGAAGACCCATGATGCATGCTTCATACTCCGCCATGTTGTTGGTGCAGTTGAAACATAGTCGGGCGGTGAACGGAGTATGAGAGCCTTTAGGAGATATGATCACAACGCCAATACCGTTACCCAAAGCGTTTGAGGCTCCGTCAAAGTGCATAGACCATCGGGATCCTTCCTCAGGTCCTTCATCCGGTCCAGGTATCTCGCAATCAGTTACTACCATGATATTCTCGTCTGGAAATTCAAAGTTTATAGACTGGTAATCATCCACTGCCTGATGTGCCAAATGGTCTGCCAACACACTTCCCTTGATTGCCTTTTGAGTCGTGTACTGGATGTCATATTCAGTCAAGATCATCTGCCATCTTGCTATTCTTCCGGATAAGTCAGGCTTTTCGAAGATATACTTGATTGGATCCATTTTTGAAATCAATAGAGTAGTGTGAGTCAACATATACTGTCTTAGCCGGCGAGCAGCCCATACCAAAGCGCAACAAGTTTTCTCAAGCAGTGAGTATCGGGTCTCACAGTCGGTAAACTTTTTGCTAAGGTAATAAATAGCATGCTCTTTTCGTCCAGACTCGTCATGCTGACCCAGCACACACCCCATTGAATTGTCAAGTACTGTCAAGTATAAGATTAGAGGTCTCCCTTCAACCGGTGGCATAAGAATGGGTGCCTCTTGGAGATACTTTTTGATTCTTTCGAAAGCGGCCTGACATTCATCGTTCCAACGTACTACTTGATCTTTCTTCAGTAGCTTGAAGATTGGTTCACAAGTAGCAGTTAGGTGAGAGATGAATCGGGTAATGTAGTTCAGCCGTCCTAGAAAGCCTCTAACCTCTTTCTCTGTCTTGGGAGCTGGCATCTCTTGTATGGCTTTCACTTTGGCAGGGTCTACTTGAATACCTTTGTCGCTCACGATGAAGCCTAGCAATTTTCCAGATCTTACCCCGAAGGTGCACTTGTTCGGGTTTAATCTCAGCTTGTACAACTTCAACCGGTCAAACAGCTTCTGTAGATGGTCAAGGTGTTCCTCCTCTGTTTGGGACCTTGCAATCATATCGTCGACGTATACTTCGATCTCATGATGGATCATATCATGAAACAAAGCAACCATGGCACGCTGATACGTTGCCCCAGCATTTTTCAACCCAAAAGGCATGACCTTGTAACAAAAGGTGCCCCACTGAGTAACAAAGGTAGTCTTCTCCATGTCTTCAGGAGCCATCTTTATCTGATTATAACCGGAGAAACCGTCCATGAAGGAGAATACCTTATGCTGAGCAGTGTTGTTAACCAAAACGTCGATGTGAGGCAGAGGGAAGTCATCCTTAGGGCTCGCCCTATTCAAATCCCTGTAGTCAACACACATTCAGACCTTACCATCTTTCTTCGGTACCGGAACCACATTGGCAACCCACTAAGGGTAAGAAGTCACTGCTAGAAAACCGGCATCAAATTGTTTCATAACCTCAGCTTTGATTTTCTCAGACATCTCTAGACGCATACGACGGACCTTCTATTTTACCGGAGGGCATTCTTCCTTGGTAGGTAGGTGATGAACCACAATGTCGGTATCCAACCCAGGCATATCTTCGTAAGACCAGGCAAAGATTTCCATGTAGTCATGCAGCATCTGAATCAACCGTTGTTTCACACTAAGCTCCAGATTTGCACCGATCTTGACTTCCTTCCTGTCTGTCTTAGTACCCAGATTTACCGTTTCCACTGGCTCTTCATGTGGATGAATGACCCTCTCTTCCTGAAGTAGCAGTCTCGCAAACTCACCAGGAACTTCGCAATCATCTTCACCTTCATCTTCGGCTAAGTTGATCGGATTTTCAAAGTCATAACTGGCAGTAGAAGAGTCGTTACCAGTGAGATCCAGAGTGGATTGGAACCTG